TCTGAGGGAAAAGAGCTGAGTACTGCCCCTTGGGTAGCCTGCTTCCTTGCTGTCCCCAGCCTTCTTTAAGTACCCAGACCCTCCACCTTAGCCCACCTTTCACCACTGAAAAAGGCTGGGTGCTGTGCAGGCAGCATGTGAACTGTAGGCTCAGGAGAGATTTGATGGGCCATTCCAAACCCTTCTCTCAACTTCTAAAGCCCACTTGCTCGTCGAGATTACAGTGAGTATTGAGTACATAGTTACTGTGTTATTTGAATAACTTTAAATTATATTTATTTGTTTGGGAAAGTGTGGCACAGTGTGTTGCACAATAAAGATTTGGATTCTGCCAAGAACGCACTCACCCCGAGTGTGGCTAAAAGTACTTGAGCTGAAAGAGACTTCACTTTGAAGCCAGTCTCATTTCCCCTTTACCCAAGCCTTGGCAGTTGTGGCAGCACTCCAGAGCTGTCCCTCAGCGGCAGGGGTTTGCGACCGCCTGGAAACAAACTCTGGTGGGGGGAGCAGAGGACGTGAAGTTAGTTATTGAAACTGCCTTTCTTCCTGCACAGGCTGAGTTTGGGTCTTCTCTGCTCTCATTTCTCCTTTCGGGGTTGGCTTGAAGAACGAGAGCGGCAGACAGGGCTCCAGTTGCGCCTCAGCTCGCTGCTGCACACGCCATTCTTCAAGAAAGAACAGGAGCACAGTTTGAAGCTGTGGCCAATGGCAAGGAGATTTTTTACCTCCTGAAACATGTAGGAGAGTAGGAACAAGGAGTTCTGGCCTGGAGAATGTCACAGAATGTTGGGGCAGGATCACAGGTGCAGGGACTGTGCAGGGGTAGGGAAAGCATTTGTGAGACTTCCTTTTCTTCCAGAGCAACTATTTTGAAATCATTTTCTGTACAGTTCTGGAGTGTTATGAAGCCAGAGTTGACCATGACAGCAGCGTGATCATTAGGTTCCCCTGGGGATTGACAGAGCTCCAGCATGTCCAGAGCCAGGCACCAGGAGAGATTAAGCTTGAGTAACATGCAACATGCTTACCCTGTGTACTTCCATCTGGTCTCAGTCCTTCAGGTGTTAGACAGGTGTAGTCACCAGGTTTTAGGGTAAAGCTGTGTGTGTGTGTGTGTGTGTGTGTGTGTGTGTGTGTGTGTGTGTATAAAGTGATACCTTCACATCTTTTCCCAGCAGTATGATAACCTACATGTACTTTATAATTTCTTTGTGTTCTTCTAAATTTTTAAATTACTTTAGTGAAATTCAAATAAAAGGGGTAAATCATGCTTTTAAAAACACAAATATTAAGGGACTCGGGTGGCTCAATGAAAAAATGCTTGCAGCTCACGCATGAGGACCTGATTTGGGATCCTTAGTCCCCTTGTAAAAACCACTCATTGGGTCCACATCTGTCACCCCAGTACTGGGGAAGAGCTCCAGAAAGCTTGGGGCCAGCCAGTCTAGGTAAAATAGTGAGTTCCAGCTCAGGAGACTTGTGTCAGAAATAAAGTGGGAAGGCTGGTGAGAGGGCCAAGCCAGGAAAAGTGTTCACCACCAAGCCTGCTTACCTGAGGTCTGGAAAACTGTCCTCCTCTGCACATGTACTGTGGTGCACATGCCTGCCCCGGAAATACATAGCTTATTATGAGGATGAATATTTTGTGTACATGTATGCCTGTGTGCCACATGCATGCCCAGTGCCCATGGAGACCAGAAGAGGGATTTATATCTCCTGGAACTGCAGTTATGGGCAGTTGTGAGGTACCATGTGAGTGCTTGCTGGGAATTGAACCCAGGTCCTCCGGAAAAACAGCCAGTGTTCTTATCTACCGTGCTATCTCTCTAGCTCAAAACTAAAGCAAAATTAAATAAAGAAGTAGAGAGCAATAGGGAGAGATACTTGATACTGGCGTTTGGCCTCCACATGCATGCACAGGAAAACACAACTGCACAACACACACCAAAACTAAAATATTGAGACATAGCTGCTTTGTGCAAGAGTGTCATCCGTCTAGCTCAAACTGGAGATGGAATCAGCTTTCGCTTCCCGCCTGTAGTCTGCCTGGGGCAACACCGGTGGTGCACAGGTTGTCCTTGTTGAGCAGCCATATTGCAGTGTGGTTTACCTGTAGTCTCACTTATTTTAGGAGTATGGGCTGGCACATGTTAAAAATCACACCTCAGAATTTATAGTTGCATGTCAGGGCACAAGCCCACAATCCTAGCTTGTTGGGGGCAGAGGCAAGCAAACCTCAGTAAGTTTGAAGCCAGCATGGTCTATCTATCCAGTTCTGTGCCAGGTGGGGCTGTACAGTGAGACCCTGTCTCAGATGGCGGTTGTAGGAGGGAAAAAGTGTGTTTCCTCATGAGCCCTCCCCTAACCATGGCCGTGAGCAACCTGCAAGCTGCTTTCTTTCACTGTAGCTGTCCTTCTTAAGAATTTAAAATAAGTGAACTCTTTCGGGCCATTATAGCCTGTTAACATTCGTTTACTTGACATCACCCTTCAAAGTGACTGTGGTTCACATTCCCACCAACACTACAAGGCCACTCCCGGTTGCCGCACATCCTCCTGAACACTGGGAATTACTGTTGCTCTTAACTTTAGCTGTTGTGGGTGTGACCCTTTTTAAACTAGTATATGATAACTTTTTTATCATGTACTTTTTTAAATGCTTTTTTAAAAATATTTTTTAGATTATTTTGTGTGTGTGTGTTGCCTACATGTATGTTTGTGTGCCATATGCATGCCTAGTGCCTGTGGAGGCCAAAAGTGGTTGTATGCCCTGGAACTAAGAGTTGAGCTGCCTTGTGTGTGTTGGAAACCAAACCAGGGTCATCTACAGGAGCAACAAGTGCCCTTAACCACTGGTGTTTTCTTTTTCAGCACTTACTAGCCATTCTTAGGCAGAGGCTCCTTGGCTAAGGATGGGTTACATTGTAGGGTTATGTCCTAGTAAGCCTAACAGTTGAAAATGCCGAAAGGCAAGCATGCATTTTATACACCTAGCCCAGCAAACACTGTGGCGTTGCTGCACGTATTCTGTAGAGTACCTGTTGTGCATGTATTCTGTTGTGCACGTATTCTGTAGAGTACCTGTTGTGCATGTATTCTGTTGTGCACGTATTCTGTAGAGTACCTGTTGTGCATGTATTCTGTTGTGCACGTATTCTGTAGAGTACCTGTTGTGCATGTATTCTGTTGTGCACGTATTCTGTAGAGTACCTGTTGTGCATGTATTCTGTTGTGCACGTATTCTGTAGAGTACCTGTTGTGCACCCTTGAACTCGTGCTGCTCACTGGAAGCCACTCCCGGCTGGCTCGAGAGTGTCTTACTGCATATCACTAGCCCAGGAAAATCCCTCTGCAAAGTGTGGTTCGCATGTGTATTGCTTTGGAACCATCATTAAGTTTTAAAGAAAATCTTAAGTTTAACTTTACAAGTTAGGAAACTGCCTGTATTTTTCTTTTCTCTTTTTCAATTTGCTTTTCTCGACTCTTGATCATTTTTAAATTGAATTGTTTATCCATCTTTTTTTTTAAATATTTATTTATTTAGTATACAATGTTCTGTCTGTTTGCCTACAGACCAGAAGAGGGCGCCAGATCTCATTACAGATGGTTGTGAGCCACCATGTGGTTGCTGGGAATTGAACTCAGGACCTTTGGAAGAGCAGGCAATGCTCTTAACCACTGAACCATCTCTCCAGCCCCTTGTTTATCCATCTTATTGGGCTTTAAGAGTTCTTAAATGTTCTGAATATGAGCCTTTTGTCAGGTATATATTGACAAATACTTTTCAAAGGGGAAAAGTTTTAATAAACTTGATTTTTCTCCTTTTATCTTTTAGATTGTGCTTTCTGAGTGCTCTTTAGAAAATCTGCCCCATCTGGGATTACAGAGATGGCTTAGTCAGGAAATAAACTTGACCCAAGTTTGGACCCCCAGTCCCGTGTAAAAACCAGATGTTACCTGTAGTCCCAGCACTGGGGAGCTGGGGGTGGGCAGATCTCTGGAGTTTGTTGGCTAGCCTAGCCAAATGGGTGAGCCTCAGGTTCAGAGAGAAACTCTGCCTCAAAAAATGAACTGGAAAGTGATTGAGAAAGACAACTGGAGTTGACCTTTGGCCTACACATGCACGCTTGCATACATACAAAGATATATGTGCACATGCATACAGAAAAGAAAAAACACGTTTATATGTGTGAAAAGTACTTTTCTCCTTTTATTAAGTTTTGTGTTTAGTTTTTTATATTTAGATCCTTTAGGGGACTTTTTTATTAGGTTTGGGGGGTGGGGTGTTTTTGTTTTTGTTTTGAGACAGAATCTCACTATATAGCTCAGACTGACCTGGAACTTAGGATCCTTCTGCCTCAGTCTCCAAAGTGAGCCACAACAACCTGTCTGTCATATATTTTGAATTAATTTGTATGTGTGGTATGAGGTAAGGTTCAAGTTTCCTATATATAACCACTTTTTATAACCACATTTTCCTCCTTGAACTTTTTTACATCCGTGTTGAAGGTCAGCTCACCATAAGTGTAAGGAGTGGCTAACATAAATAAAGCCGTGTGTGCTTTAGTGTCTCCCTGTATTTGTGCACAGGAATTTCATTTAGGAAATGCTACCATCTTTAGAAAGGCAGTTCTCATAAAAATATATTTGTTGGTGAAAGTATAAAATCCAGTGTGAAGCTCCACGATTTGAGAATAGCTAATCTAACTGTACAGAAATTCAATGAGATGGATAGACTTGGATCTGGTTAATTTTGATGTGTGACTTTTAAGTAAAGGGGTTTTGTTGTTGTTATTGTTGTTTTGAGAAAGAAAGAAAGAAAGAAAGACTCTTTTCCAGTCTCTCTTGCTTTCCATGATACTAGATCAGTGTGTACTTCCTAGCAATGTGTATTTTCTTGTTTTCTATATTCTCAAAAACATTCGGTATTATCGAATCTTCATTTTTAGAAATCTTATATACAGTTGTATTTGTTTTGTCTTTTCTTGTTTTTAAAATAGAAATTCAATGTCATCTTTCCGTCCTGGGAGAGGACATAGTGAGAGTCGCAGAACCGTGTTTTACACCAATGAAGAGTGGGAACTTTTAGACCCACCTCCTAAGGACCTAGAGGAGTCCCTGATACAGGAGGAGAGGAAGAAGCAAATGCCTGAGGGGAGCAAAGGTAGAGAATGCACCTGTGCTCTGTTGCTCTCTGTGCTACCATTTGTCACCTCTGGGGATGTAACAGACACTTGGCTGCCAGAGTTCCTGGAAGCATGAAGTGTTATGGCCAGGGGTGGGGGCAGTCATTCCTAAAGGTTTGTAAAGTGCTACAAGGAATAAATGTCCATCCAGCCCGGTGACTGCAAACCTTTTCCAGGAGATAGAATAGCTGTCATGTTTCTGTGCATCACAGAAATGCTGACTGAAGAAACTTTGTATTGATTAAGCCAGGTATTATGTCATATACCTGTAGTTCTAAGACCTGGGAGACTGATGCAGGAGGATTGCACATTTGAGGGCAGCCTGGGCCATGTAGCAAGACTCTGTCTCAGAAACACACACACACAGCACCTTTATTTTCAGACATTTGAGATGTACTCAAAAGGAACAAAACATAGTATCATAGATTCTGAAGAACTGGTTAAATTAGTCTTAGTCCCACTACTGTAGCAAATGCCTGAGGTAAAGTATGTAGAGGGAAAGGTTTATTTTGGCTCACAGTTGCAGAGATCTTAGTCTATGACCAATTGAACCCATCATTTTGGGCCTAAGGAGGTGCATCATCATAGGGACATGTGGTCAAGAAACAGAAAAGCTAGAAGGGCTGGAGTACCACTGTCTGGAAGACTTCCCGGTAAACCCCAGTTTTCATCACTAAGAAGACTTGGGAAGACATGCTAGTCTGAACAGTCCCCAAGTCAGAAGCGTGCGCCTCTGTTTTTCATGAAACCAGGCACAGCAGGTATCCAGTGCTACCGAGGTGCCTGATGCTGTTGCCCCTCCCAGTCTCTGCCTGACCTACTGCAGGGCCACTGTGTGCTTCTAACAGCGCAGGTGCCTTTGTCTCTCATACCCTCAAATAATCAAAACTCCGCGGTGCTTTTGTGTCTCCTGTTTGCATTCCTCAGGATGCATTTGAAGTCATTCATAAAAACATTTATTTGGATCATTTAATATGTAAAATCACACTTTAAAAATGTATCTATCCTTTTTAAAAACATTCCTTTTGTTTTTGGTTTTAGCCAAAAACAAATGAGTAAAAGAAGCCAAGAATTTCCTAGTGTACCTCATCTTTCTGTAAAGTGCCCAGTAGTAGTCTTCTGTAAAGAGTGGTCTGAAGCTCCGCTGGCTTTACCTCTAGAATGAGGTGGGACAAAGTGACATCCGCCGCTCTGCTTTCTTCATAGGCTGATGAGTCCACAGCCCCTCAGAGGGCAGTCTGTAAGGATACCAGAAGAAGGTTGGACTTGCTCAAAAACTTTTTTTTTAACATAGGAGTCACTAGTTCGGGATTCCCCTTCGAGTTGGGGCGGCACCCTTACAAAGGAAAGCGCCCCTTGAGAGACATAATTGGGTCATACAAAAATCGCCACAGCAGCGGTGATCCTCTGATCGAGGGAACGTCACCGGGTGGTGGAAGCCTCGCTAAGCCCGTCTCTGAGATGCAGCTGCAGATTCAAAGCCAGCAGGAGGAGCTGGAGCAGCTCAAGAAGGACCTGTCCAGTCAGAAGGTAACTGTCTCTTGAGTTTTGTGTCCCTTCACCTGACCTCCCCAGGGGCCTTTCCCTGATGCATGCTGCTGCAGCCTCCATCCTGTGCCCTGAGCTATGCCCATCGTTAATTCAAGACCCCAGACTATGTGGAGGGAAAGGAAGGTTGCAGGGTGCTGCTGTCTGCACCACACCCAGTTCCTCAGCCTAGAGATCTGAAGTTTCTACGTCCTGTCAGACAGTATAACTTTTCTAAGCTGGTCAGACATTCTACCTAATTGCTGGACAGTTCAGTGATTCTTAGAGCCTGGATTTCCCCACACACACACCCTGTTTTATCTTATTTTTAATTATGTGTGTGGGTATGTGAATGCAGGCACCCTTGGAGATCCAAAAAGGGTGTCAAATCCAGTGAGCCTCCCAATGTTGGTTCTGGGAGCCAAGCTCAGAACCTCTGCAAGAACATCATATGCTCTTAACTGCTAAGTCATCTTTCTAACTACCCCCCCCACACACACACACACGTCTATTTATTTTTGAGACAGCATCTCACGGTGTAGGCTATGGAACAATTGATCCTCCTCCAGCACAGGAATTACAGGCATGTGCCACCCGACGGTACTTCACAGATCCCTTAGTACTGATAAATATGTGCCAGGAACCATTGCTAATTACAGCCAGCACGTCCATTATTTCCAGCTTCCTATTATTGTTCTCTTCAGACCGTATTTGTGGACTAAATTTCTTTCCTCTCTATTTTTGAGATCTTTCAAGAGGAAGTTTGGTATTAAAATGTTTCCAACAAAGTTTGTTTCCTCATTTCCTCAAATTCCAGTGGTTACTTATGTAACATGGTTATGATTCCTGTTTTTCTCCCTGACTCTCATACCCTTCATCTCATCATCTTGGTTCCTAGGAGCTTATTCGGCTGCTCCAGCAGACAGTCCGGTCATCCCAATATGACAAGTATTTTACGAGCCACCAAATCAGCCAGGGGGTCCCCAGGGACACTCTGGAGCTTCTCCACCAAAAGGACGAGCAGATCCTGGGCCTCAGCGGCCAGCTGGAGAGGTACGGCCTGGAGAAGGAGAGTCTCCAGCAGGAAGTGAGGACGCTGAAGAGCAAGGTGGGCGAGCTCAACGAGCGCCTGGGGATGCTGATGGAGACCATCCAGGCCAAGGACGAGGTCATCATCAAGCTCAGCGAGTGTGAGGGCAGCGTGACTTCGCCCACCCTGGGGCCCAGCTCTCCTTTGGCCACCCCAGCCAGCAGAGACCAGCTGGAGCTGGACAGGCTAAAAGTAAGGGCAGGGTGTGGGCTTGCTTTTTGGACAGAGATCCTAAACTTCGTTAGCTCCATCAGTTTTGATCCTTAGAGGTACTATTGTCAGTGAGCTAGTCTGGTAAGGGAGCAGAGCTGGGGGTGGGGCACAGAAACAGGCTTTGCAGTCAATTTAAAAAACTCCTTGGAAGCCCTTCCAGCACTGTTGCCATTGCTGCTATTGCCTGCCTGGAACCCTTTCAGCTCCTCCTGTCCCTGACTTAGGAGTAGCTGAAACACCCCTCCCCTCTTATTTATTCCCCTCTCAAGACTTCAGTGCACCCTGGAACATGTGGAGGTTGTCAGTTTCCTCTTCTGTTACATGAATGCAAACACAGACTTAATTTGCACAGCTTCCCACAGGCCTGGGCAGGAATATTGTCCCAGTAGTCAGAGTAGGGCCAGCTGGGAAAGTGGGGAAAGGAGCCTGCTCGGACAAGGGTCAGTGCCTAACATGAAAAGTCCTGCTCTTGGAAGGGAGGACAGAGCTGTCTTCCCAGTGCCACCTTCTGAGATGGCCCAGGATGAGAGGCTGGCTCCTGAACAGAAGGGAACTGGGGTGATAAGCAGCAGTTGAAGGAGGGGGAGTACTCCCCCTTTGGAAAGCAGAGCAGCCTACATCGTATACCTGTTGAGAATCCTGCAGGTCCAGAGCAGAGAGCTGAACAGTTCGGGCGCTTATGAGGAAGGCTGTAGAGAAGACCAGCACATCTTTGCTGTCAGCAGCTCCTGAGACTCTGCTGGAGAAGTTTTAGGTAGACAAACATCCCCTGGGACAAGGAGCATTAGATAGATCTGACTCCAGCAGACCCCCAGTAGGTCTGTGACTCCTAGCCCATGTTTCCACACAGCCATTGTCTTCTTGCAAAAAAAAACTGACTCTGGGTGTTTGAGTTTCAAATGGAGTTTCTCCTTGAAGGGCCAGGTGTGTTACTGTTGAGATAGTTAGAGAGTGTGAGTGGCATGGCTTCCAGCGCCTTCCATTGGCCAGCAGTGAGCTGAGCAAGTGCTGGACAGGCTGGGGACTTCCGAGTTAGGAACACTGAGACAGCGGCAGCGTGTGGATGGTCTGTTTTAGTGACAACTCCCTTCGGATACTCGAAAGACCAACATGGTTTATTTTTGGTGTGTGTATGTGCACAGATGCACATGTATTTGCAGGTCCACATGCCCAGGGGCGCTCACATGTAGAGGCTACATGTTGATATTCTCCCTCCATACCTCCCCACCTTCTTTTTTTGAGACAAAGTCTGAACCAGTTGGTCTGGAAGCCCCAGCAATCCTCTTTCTCCATGCTCACTGCACTAGGGTTATAGAAGCACCATCACACCGGCTTTTATGTGGTGTCAGAAACCCAAATATAGGTCCTCCTGCATGTGCAGCAGACACTTGACTGGCTAAGCCCTGGCCACAGCTCCCAACAGGATTATTAATGAGGAACCAAAACACTTCTTATTATATCAACTATAAAACAGCCTTTATTATTTTATTTTTATATTTATAAGACAAAGTTTGATACTGTCGCTCAGACTGACCCAGAACTCACTGTAGCCCAGGTTTGCCTCAAACTCAAGTTATTTTTGTCTCCATGTCCAGGGTGCTGAAATTACCAGGTGTGAGCTGCTGTGCTTGGCTGTTTTTAGTTTCTGTTTCATTTTTCTTTTTACAAGCAGTCTTAGTGTTTCCTGTAGAAGTCAGTTTTGTTTATATGCTCAACCGTAAATGTTTTGTTCCTTCCTACACATCCCCACAGTAGTGATGATACACTTAGTGTCTACATTTGTAATGTGGGTTTTCCAGACGGTGTTTTTTGTTCTTGGCAGAAGAGAAGTATATGGCACACGTTTTCCCAGGGAGCTAAGCGAGGGTGTTAGAATGGGCCACGTAGCTGCTATAACCACCGAACCTTTGAGACTCTTAACTTACCTCATCCAACATGGACTGTCTCTCCTGTGTCCTTTTGTAGCTGGGGTGACTTTTGATGAGTCATAAGGATCTTTTTCCTCAACATTTCTCAACAGCTTTAAAGCTGTGGCTCCAGAGTCTACACGGTGAGGCTTAGTGGGGAAGCTTCTTAGCAGGCAGAGACAGCCTGCCTAGGTCAGGACCTCACGTTGCTGGCCTTGGCTCTGCCTGAGCCTGTACTACAGTGAGATGCAGCGCTCCCAGAAGAGTGTAGGCGGCTTGCTCAGAGCTCAGTCATCCTTCCACAGTGAACTCTGACTCTGGCAGTGACCTCAGGTCTAGGCCTCATCTGTCAAACAGTGCTACCCCTGGGGTGTTACGAGGGCTGAAGGAAGTGGTCCACATCTGGACCGGACACCTTGCTGAGTGTTTACTGCCAGATGTTATTGTTATATCAACATTCTCAACAAAGTATTCTGATGGTAAATAGTGAGAATTTACTGAGACTGGAGCACAAATTTTATACTAAAGACAAACTACACAGCCAGCAGAGACCAAATACCTGTCATTTAGTCTTTCTCCTCACAGTTCAGTATCTTTAGCTTCTTTCCAACCAACCTCCTGTTAACTGACCTGCCTTTAATGATGTGTTTATTCATTGTTTCCAAATACAGTATTTTTAAGATGCCAGGAGAGAGGAGAAAATGTCATCATTTGAGCTAGAAAAGGACACATTAACCTTTGGGGCCTGACATTTTCACTTACGTACTTGGGTTGCTGGGGCGACGTCAGTACTGTGCAAGGGTTGGGTTGCAGGTGAGGAGGCTCAAGCACTCAGCCTGGCCCTCCGAGCTTAGAAACTGACTTCCCAGCACAGCATTCAGCGAATGCATAGCCTCCCTGGCCTGGGTCTGTCTGGGAAATAATGTCAAGAATGGCTCCTGGGGCTCGAGAGGTCTAAGTGAGATCAAGAAGCTCATGTGCCTTGCCCAGAGTTCTGTGACCCATAGCACGTGTTCCATGAGTGCCAGCAAATCAGGGGCACCAGGGGCACCTTTCCAGTTCCTCTGCATCTCATAGAACAGTCTATCGGGAGACTGGGGGGGTGGGGGGTGGAGGACTGTTTAGAAATGGTCAGGGGCAGATGAGGCTGTGGTTGCAAAAGATGGAATTTATAAGTAGTCTTTTGAAACCACAGTCTTCAAGATGCTGCTGATTCATCTTTATTTAGAAGCTTCCTTAGTTTACCATGAGGAACATCTAAAGGAATCAGTAAACCTTACTTCCAGAGACTGCGTGAGAACTCTTCCCTGCCCACCCACAGCTGCACTTCAAGTGGAGCAGGGCAAACAAACCTTGTGACCATGGAAGGCAGAAGCTAGGCCAGAACTCTGACTTCATACTCATACATAGATACATCCAGGACAACCAAGGATCTATAGTAGAGAGACCTTGTCTTTACAAAACAACCTTGTCTCCAACTAGCTATGTTCTCTCAAATACAAAATAAATGTCACAGAAGTGAACAGGTGGGCACCCACTAGAGGGCCCGTTTTGTTCTTGTAATTTGTGGAGTTGGTTGTGCTGGAAAGGAGAGCTTTACCACTGAGCTCCACCTCTGCCCTGTTGTGCTTTTCCTTCAGCTCTTCCCCAGCTTTGAAACTTTGCAATGTTCTCCAGAGTCCCTGATGCTTTGTAGATTGTAGCATTTATCATTACATGCCGTTCTTAATTAAGGGCTTTTCTGCATTTTTATAGCCATTTTAAAATAGAAGCTATATGAGTAAAAACAAGAACCTACAAAGAATATGTTCAATTTCTCTGGTTGAAAGGAATGTTAAATTTTTCTTTTTCTTTTCTTTTTTTTTTTTTTTTTTTTTTTTTTTGGATTTTCGAGGCAGGGTTTCTCCGTAGCTTTTTTGGTTAAATTTTGCTTTTTTTTTTTTTTTCTCATCACCAACTTAATGGGTATAAATGAATTTAGAAAATACATCCTGCTTATTTCTCCTGAAATCTCTACTGCTGAGTAAATGTTTTGTTCATCTGCTTCATTGCAACAGCAGTTCCCACCTCCTTCTGCTCAGCAATGACTGGAACATTCATCAGAACACAGCTTCAGACTTCTTCAGTTCTCTTTTAGAACTTGCTCTCACTTAGCAGGACTCGGATATGCTAATTAGGTAGGATAATTAACCAACATGCAATCCTCATGAACTGATAAATATTTTCCCCCTACAGGATAGTCTGCAAGGGTACAAAACCCAAAATAAATTTCTAAATAAGGAAATTTTGGAACTCTCCGCTCTACGAAGAAATGCGGAAAGGAGAGAGAGGGATCTGATGGCAAAGGTAAGTCAGGATAGACACATTTTACCACTTGGTGAGAGAGAGAAAACTTGTAACGGGAGGAGGGGACTGCTTGTTGTCCCAGCTGCCTGGCTATCTTATACCCGAAATAATCACACAGAAACTGTATTCATTTAAACACCGCTGGCCCATTATCTCTAACTTCTTATTGGCTAATTCTTACATTTTAATTTAACCCATTTCTGTTAATCTGTGTATCACCATGTGACTGTGGCTTACTAACAAGATTCTAACCAGCATCTGTCTCAGGCAGGAGATCCATGGCATCTGCCACTCTGTCCTTCTTCCCAGCATTCAGTTCTGTCTACTCTGCCTACCTAAGTTTTGTCCTATCAACTAGGCCAAAGCAGTTTCTTTATTCATTATCCAATGAAAGCAACACAAACAGAATGAACTCCTACACCAGAAACTGTATTTAAGTGGATGTGCTTTAGAACCTACCTAGCCACCACATTGGGAAAAACATGGCTACTGGCGTCAAAATAAATGTTAAGTGTGTCCAGTACATTTTCGTTGTGGATAACAAAGAAATACTCTCACATGTGCACATGTGATCTTCATACATTTTTAAGGAATTTTCTAAGGTGAAAATGAAGTGCAATTTGGGGTTCTCCCAAATTAAGATTGTCCAGCTTTTCATTTATGCTGTTGAGATTTAGTTTCACATCTGTGGAGCAGGAATGGTGAGAATATTACCATCTCCATAGATCCAGCAGAGCGGCGGCAGAGGGCTTTCCAGCTGTGTGCTGGTGAGGTACAAGCACCTGACTCTTCTCCACAGCTGTGGTGTGTGTGCTATCTTTTCAACAGCCTTCTGAGCACATTTCTAAACCGTATTCCTGCATATTTGCCAGGGTGAAGTTGATTTTTCTGATCAGGTAGCAAATGGGAACTAGTCCTGCCTGGACATGATGTCCTAAAAAAGTTGGTATACATGGGGTAGGGGGATTCATGGCCCACGTAACCAACTAGGATTAGACTTGACCTCAGTAACTGGCACACGATGAGTTTTGTTGCTCACTCTAACCATGTTGAAGACTGGTACCCGTGCTTGTCGGCACTCCCTCTGCGTCAAAACCCTTAGGAAGAAGAGGGCTGCCGTAGCAGGCTATTCTAGCCCTAAGAAGGTCTGTGGCATGACTAGCCTTCCACCTGTGCTGTAGTCTGCAGCGGGCTCACGTCCTCATCTACTGGGCATGCTGGCTTGAGCTCATTGTTGGCCAAGTTACCCAAAGCTTGCTTTTCCTGTGTTTTTCTCTGGGTGGGGGTAACACCTTACCTAACCTTATTTTCTCTGCAGTATTCTAGTCTGGAAGCCAAGCTCTGCCAGGTAGAAAGTAAGTACTTGATACTGCTTCAAGAAATGAAGACACCAGTTTGCTCAGAAGAACAGGGGCCTACCAGGGATGTCATAGCCCAGTTGTTGGAGGATGCTCTGCAGGTTGAGAGCCAAGAACAGCCAGAGCAAGCGTTCATTAAGCCTCATCTGGTCAGGTAAATGTGTTTGATTCTGTCGGGAAGTCCACCGCTTTCTAAAGTTCCCTCTCCGCAGCAGTAGACACTCACGGGGCACTTACACTGTGTCTGATCTGATGCCTGTGACAGCTGCTGTCAGGCCAGTGAGACATATATCATCATTCTCCCTCAGAGATAAGTGGTAGAGCTGAAATCAGTCCACATCTGTTTATTCCAAAACCATGTCAAAGAGGCCACACCTCCGATACATACCTTCTTCTGCCGGGGCCAGTTTTCTGAGGAATGGGAACCTTTTCCTGACACACATGCATCCCATCCGAGGGGAACCGAAAGCAAAGGGCCAGTGAAGGGAAGCAGTTTTCCCTGTATGGGGAGGCCGTTTCTACAACGACTGAGCGGCCCAAGACCCACATAGGATCTGAAACAAACCATGGACCCACCCTAAGATGCACTAAGACACATACATGTAAAATACTGCACTGTTTTTGCAGGGGTGAGGGTCATAGAACCTAGAAGTATATGACAGATCTTGGATTAAAAGCTCATATACAGTATATTTTCTGACAAGTCTCAGAGTGTTGGGACTAGGAAGCTGCAGACTCACCTGGTGTACCCTCCCTTCTGCCTCTGTCACTCAGACACAGCACTGTCTCTGGGCCTTGCTCAGTGGTCTCCTCACTGCCTTTCCTCCAGCCTGAGATGAAGCCCTTTGATATGCCTGACCCTCCCCAAGCTAACAGAACCTACCAGCATTGACTGCTATTCAAATGACAGAAGTAAACTTTAAGAATATGAGCAGCACCATTGTTACAGCACACTTTTCTGTACCAGTGTGCCGGGCACAGGAACTGCTAAGTGTATTAATTGTATTAAATGCTCAGTGCAGGTGGGCTTTGCCTCACTTTATGAGGTGACTGAGTTAGGAGGTGGAATAGCATATCCTAGTGATACCCTGTGATACATGGATGAAACCCTAGCCCAGGCAGCCAGAACCTCACATTCAAGGCTGCTTCCTCCACATCACATGTGGTTATGTCGTTCATAGTTGTTAGTGACCTCCGGGAACTGTTCTGAAGGTGTGTTGCGTTCTTCCCGTGTGCATTTAGGAGTTTTTTCCATCCTTCCCTGCTTTGAGGAACTACACTAGATAAACAGACCACAGAGGCATTATTGCTTCCCTTCATGAAGGGCACTTAATTAAGACCTTTTTAGTTTCCGTAGTTACAGACACCATGGTCTATGTTCTGTGTGCCCAGCAAGAGTATATCCAGAACAGAGAAAAGGAACGCGATTCCTAATGTGGAAGAAGTGCACACCTTCAACTGCACTAGATTTGATTTCCAAAGTTCCTAAGCATTCTGTCAGAAACTTTGTACTAGATTCTGATACTGCCACAACTAATCACAGACTCAGCAGCAACATTGCTGTCATAAAGTTCATGGGTCAGAAGGTAACATAAGGTCTTACTGATTGAAATTACAATTTAATCAAGGACTGGCTCCTTTTGGATCTTCTGGGGAACAGTTCATTTCCATCATTAAAAATGTTAGTAGATACGGTTCCTGGTAGATATAAAACGAGCCCTGCATTCCATGGCTCATCGCCCCTTCCTTCTTTAAAGTGTCAGCGGCTGACCCAGTTCCTGCAAAGGTACCCGTCCCTCCTGCCTCTTCTGTTCTTTTCCTCTGATCTGTTCTTCAGCTTTCCCTTTTTCTCTTTGAAGGGTTCATGTGGCTATTGGGTCTTTTCTCTTTGAAGGGTTCATGTGGCTATTGGGTCTCTTGGTAGCCCAGACAATGTCCTTGTCTTAATTCTGTAACATGAGGACCATCTGCCACCATCTTCTCCTTGAATGTTTTCACAGATTTCAGGAGTAGGATGTTGACATCTGTGGGACCATATTCTGTCCGCCAAAGCCTTAATTAATATTCATACCCAACATCTTACAAGTATACCCTCTTCGTGTCTTTTCACCTTTGAAAATGATGCCTTGTGGGTAGGTATGGTAGCACACACCTGTGATCCCAGCTACTTGGAAAGCTGAGACAGGAGGAGCACTTGAGTCTAGGCTGGCAAACATCACAAGATACTTTTTTTATTAAAACAAAACCTTTTGAAGCATGAAGTTGTTCCGGGTGTATGTACATTGACATAGCCACATAATTGGGCCTCCTTTTTTTCATTTTCTTTGGTCCTTTATCTGAGACGGTGTCTTTGTAGCTACACTCAGACTTGTCTTCAACTTAGAATCCTCCCTCTCCAGCCTCCTGAACACTGAGATCAGCCGTGTACGCCCCTCTGCCCCACTTAGGTCAGTCTTGCTTGGTGATAGTGCTTGTATTTCCTTCCAGTTTGATCTGCTTTTATGGGTTTTATCTGGTTTTATGGGAGTTTTAACCCATCTGACAGTGATTTCTTTCTCTGTATGAATGGAGAGTTGATCTCATTAGACCTTTTCTGTGCAGAGGCCCGTTGTCCTGGCCCTGCTTATCCAGACGCTTGTGTGCTTGATGGGCTGAAATGTCTCCTGTTTCAGTGCACTGTTTGCCAAGACCATGACGTTCCTACTGTCCCTCTTGTTATTTGTCCACAGTGAGTTTGATATCTACGGGTTTAGGACTGTCCCTGATGACGACGAGGAAGAGAAGTTGGTCGCCAAGGTCCGAGCATTGGACCTGAAGACTCTGTACCTCACAGAAAATCAGGAAGTTTCCACTGGGGTCAAGTGGGAAAACTATTTTGCAAGCACAATGAACAGGGAGATGGTATGTTCTCCGGAGCTGAAGAACCTGATCCGAGCAGGCATTCCACACGAGCACCGCTCCAAGGTATGGAAGTGGTGTGTTGACCGCCACACCAGGAAATTCAAGGACAGCATGGAGCCCGGCTACTTCCAGAGCTTGCTCCAGAAGGCACTGGAGAAACAGAATCCGGCCTCCAAGCAGATCGAGCTGGACCTGCTGCGGACTCTGCCCAACAATAAACATTACTCCAGTCCCACATCAGAGGGCATCCAGAAGCTGCGCAGTGTCCTGCTCGCCTTCTCCTGGCGAAATCCAGATATTGGCTACTGCCAAGGCCTCAACAGGTGGGTGTCAGACTACTCTCTCCTGTGGTTTAGAAAACCTCCAGGCACCAGGCACTACCTGGCAGCTCCCTCTCCTTCCAGCTAAGAAAAGCCTGTATTCTGTGGGGAAAGGATCCCGGGATGACAGCAGGTTTTCATGTTGCAGTACCTCCAGCTCTGTAGCAGGCTTTCTTGACGACGGTCTTTGAATTGCCAGCCCACAGATAATGACCCGGAGACTTAATATTAATTATGAAACTTTAGCGTTTAGCTTAGGCTTGTCTCCAACTAACTCTTATAACTCAAATTAACCTGTTTCTATTAATCTATGTTCTGCCATGTGGCTCGCGTTACTCTGTTCTGTACTGTATGTCCAGCTTCTTCAGAGTCTCATTGGCATCTCTCTGGTATAATCCACGTGCCTAGATTCCTCCTCCTCTTCCTTTCTCTCCCTGGAAGTGTTGCCTCTCTCTCCTGCCTAGCTATTGGTCACTCAGTTTTGTATCACACCAAGCATAGCAATATATCTTCACACAGTGTACAGATATCCCACAACACAGTTCTAGAGTAACTCAGGCAGGTTCTGCTTTGGAAAGTCTAAGGAGTAAAAAGCTGCCTGGGATGTGGCTCAGTGATATTATGTGTCCTTGGCCTAAGTGAGACCCTGGTTCAGTCCCAGCGCCAGGATTGGTAAGCACAGAAGTCATGTGATGAGCATCTTGGAGTCTCATTTCTTTTTTCTTCTTTGCTTTTCTCTTCACACTTCAGTTTTAATCATAAAAATATGCATTATTTGATAATTGACGGAGTAGAAGCTTGTGTCATTTGTGCAGGATCCTGGATGGCTTTTTCTGCTAATTAGAACTCAGCTCTTAAAGGGCGTAAACTTGCTTGCCTTTTTTTTTTTTCAATTAGATTTTTTTTCTTACCAATTTTACTCGTGTACGTAGTCCATCCCGACTGCTGTCATTCAGTACTCTCCCGCCCCCTCCATCCCCGTTTCCTCCTTCCGCCCCACAGATCTCTCTCACATTCATCTCTGTTTGTTTTGCTTTGTAGCCATTGAGTAGAACCTCTTACAGGTCTTGACTGTTTTCCGCGTTTCCATAAGCACAGAACACAGAGGACCTCTCACCTTTTAGTGGTGATCCAGGCTGTCACCCTGAGCTGCATGTTGGGCCAGGACAAGGCTTTGTGGGTACCAAGGTCTGCTGCCCACCAAACTCCCCCTCAGCACCAGGCCCTGGGTGCTGGGACAGCGTCTTCCGACGTGTCTCGTCTTACCCTGTGTCGTCTCTCTGCTGTCTGCTGTCACTGCAGTTTGTGTTCCCTTCCAAGCTCGTCAGAAAGATAAACTGCACACGTAACACTCCTTTAATGCCAGCACTTGGGAGGCAGAAGTAGATCCCTGTGAGTTTGAGGCTAGCCTGGTCTATATACTAAGCTCTAGGCCAGTAAAGGCTACATAGTGAGACCCTGCCTCAAATGGGAGGGAGAAAAGAATGAGAATGAAGATCTTTGTGTGTGCTTGAGAAGTTCTCCCCTAAGCAGTGCATGTGCTTGAGTTTTGGATGCTGGTGTTTAGTCTGGCGGCTCAGAGGCTTCTTTGCCCCTGACCTCCTGGTAAGCTGTCTGAGTCTGCATGTGAGTATTATGGGAGGGGAGGTGTAAAGCTGGACTACCACTCACTCAAACCCTAGCTGAAACCCAGTGGCTACCAGGAACCCATGACTTCAGTCAACAGGACAGGGTACTTCTCTCTGCCCTTAGGAGGTTAGAGACACCTCAGCTTCTCTTAGTCTCCATTTCAAAATTAAAACCTGCCTAAAGCAGCCCTGGTTTTACTTAAAGCCACAGCTCACACCACACTGAGTCTGAAACCCCTGAGGCCAGGGCCCCACGGAAGACTTACGGTGCTTTCCTGGAACCAGTTCTGTGATCCTCAGTGAACTGGGAGCACTGGCGCGCCCCCACCCCGCCTTGTTAAAGCTCTGAGTCTTAATTGGTGGGTGGGGGTAGTTTTTTTCCTTGGAACTCTTGGTACGTGCTCCTGGCTCCTGAGAACCTAGTACTTCAGTGTGAGAACCCTAGCTCGTGCCCAACTTGTGCTAACCGTGCTCAGCCTCAGCTAAGTGCTGTCCTGACAGTTCTGTTGGGACTTGCAGATGGCTCCTGGAGTCCCGGGGGCTGGGCCTGGCTGGCTGTGTTTGCGCGGTGGGAACTTTTCTCTGTAACTGTCCTCCAGCTCTCGCCTCCCCACTCTCCATCCCAGTGCCGCCCACTCAGGTCCTGTTTTTTAATTTGAGATTTGCTGATTTCTTTCAGTTTTATCAAAGAAAAAGAAAAGATCAAATTCTGAACAAGGGTATTTTTCCTGTGAGTGACACATTTAAACTTTGTTTGGGACAGAAGTTACTGGATTTCAGCTTAGTGGAGAGGGACTTTTCCTCACTTCTGCCTCTTTCTGGTATAGCCTTATCCCCCACCCTTGTTTTGTGGTGTGGGGATTGGATCCCAGGCCTGAGGCATGCCAGGCCAGTGCTCTGCCACTGAACTGCATCCCCAGCACCCTCTCCTCGTACACACTTTTATTTGAAATTTTGAGACAGGGTCTTGCCGACTTGCCCAGACATGACCCTCAGCTTGTGATTCCCCCTGCTCTAGCCTGCTCAGAAACTTGGATCAGTCATGTTTTATCAGCAGCCTCTTGATTATGACAGTGGACAAATGGGCGGAGCCAGGTTTCCATTATGAGTGGCACAGCAGTTGGTGTGTGGGGAGCTCCTTCCTGCCCATGTGCACACCTCCTGCAGCTCCAAGGGCCCCTTTTAGGGATTCTGTGCCATGCCTTCCTCCCTCCAGAGAGCTGGATAGTGGGTGAAATCAGAGTCTTAGTCTACCTCATACTCTGTTACATTCACATTATTTTTTAAAAATAAAAGGACTAATCAAAACATTTTAAGCAGTGAACTCAAAGAATTAGCTGCTTTAGCAGAATATTAGACTGAAACATGTTTTGTTTGTGGATCTGACCTTTAATGGCTGAGCCATCTCTTCAGCCCAAGTGAAGCATTTTTTACACAAGGCTGATGGATCACAGGGAGGCGATTTCATTGGGAAATAATTTCAACTTTGAACAAAATCCAAATGACAGAATCAGAGGAAATGTGGCTTTTCTCTTCAAGTTTTAGAGGGTCCATCACTTACACAGAAATCCTCATTTATCCTTCATTAGAGAAGTAGAAATCGCACTGGCCCTTAGAGAAAACGGCTTGGGCAGACATCTTGATGAAGGCAGAAACAGGAGCCCGCACTGACCTTGTCCCTGTCTGCCCATAGGTTGGTGGCAGTGGCCCTCCTTTACCTGGAACAGGAAGATGCTTTCTGGTGTCTTGTTACCATCGTGGAAGTCTTCATGCCTCGAGACTATTACACAAAGACTCTGTTGGGGTCCCAGGTACTTCTAAATACTATGCCTTGGTCACTGGCTTCTAGGACTCCAGTTGTCGTCTGACCCAAGTCAACCCTGTGGGGGCGATCTGAGTGGATAGGTCAGCTCCTTCCACTCTCTGATCACCTCAGAGAGACCGCCCTCCCTGGCAGTCTGTCATAGACCAAAGATATGGGGGCAGGAGAGATGCTGGTATGTTTAATCAGTTCTTCCAGAACGCAGGGACCAGGCTGGAGGAGATGTGGGGGGCGAAGGACTGCTGAGGAAGCTGGAGGAGCCTTAACTGTTAAAGGTGCCCTACCCTGCCATACCCTAGTTTAAAGAGCTGCAGTAGGATTGTCAGTGACCTCCCCCATCAGAGGATCTGGTACGCGTTCCCTTCACACCTGGATGATGACATCAGAGACCAGAGGAGGGTGACATGGCCTGAAAGAGGCCAGATCATCTGTCTCCACCTGGTCTTGCCTTGGGCACTTCTCTGGGGACCAGGACTACCCTAGTGCCCCCCAATGTCTCTGCTGTCCTGGCCGTTTTCTCTGTTTCCTGGCTACCTTGTTCTCCGGCTCTTCCTGTCTCAACCATAGCTATTGCTGCTCCACAGCTGCCTCTCCAGGTTCACGCAAGCCTGGCATACCTGTTGACACAGCCCGTCCTTGCTTTCCTTCAAGAACACATCCCTGCATCTAGAAGTCGCAGCATACACCCTCCCTTTTACACTGCCATCCTGCATTCCCAGGGCAGTTATAGGGGTGCTTCAGTTCACGCCACCCCATGATGGCTGTTACCCAGCTAGATTAACTCTTGCCTGCCTGCTCATTCTCCTCATTCTCCAGCTAATCAGTGGTACCATCCAGACCACACCTCTGTTATCTTAGGATGTCCAGCACCATCCAAAGATATGTATTCAGTGAGCCTGACCTTATTACTACCAGTTTCACTGTCAAGTCATACCATGTAGCAACCTTATTGTCCCCCATTAGGCTCAGGAGAAAAGGAAAGTCAAAGACATTGAACTAGGTAGGCCAGTTAATTCCCTTGGGCCAACAAGCTTGATGATCTAAGTTTAATCTCTAGAACCTACATGGTGAAAGGAGAGAACAAATTCCTTCATGTTCTCATTTCCATACCATGTACATGTACACACCCCCAAAAAATGAATATTTAAAATAAAAAAATAAATGGATAAATAGAAACAAAAAAGGTGCAGTTGCTGTGGGACTGAGCTGAGGGCTGGACTTGGTCCTTGTAGCCCCACCCACACCTAAGCTTATGCGCTCCTTCCACATTGCCACTGGAAGTTGGTGAGAAGCTGAGCTCCGACCTTCCCACAGCTGCAAGTCCAGGTCCCTGTCCCAGATGCACTGATGTCATGGACACTAGAGAAGCTTGCCTGTTCGCCTTGCAGTCCCTTCGCCTGCTGATTACCTGTGAGCTGTTTCCCTCAACATGAGTTTGTGAACTAGGACGTGGACAAGGGGATGAGGCAGTAGTATCAGTCAGGTGGGGTTTTAAAAATGAGCGGCTAGTGCTTGTGTAATCAGAGCACCTGAAAACAGCCCTGTCAGCTCAAATTTAGAGCCTCAGGTGCCCCAGTGTTTTGAAATAGAAAAGATGAAGCGTTGCTGTCCCTACCACTCTGGGTGGGGTGTCCTCAGATGCTTTTTTCCCTGATATCGGTGCCTTTTCTTCTCTCAGATGTCCCCAACTATTATGTTCAGGCTGCTCTTCAAGTGAGTGTGCCGTCAGTGCCAGTGCTGGCCAGAGCCCCAAGCCCGCTGCCCGCTGCTGCTGTGACCCCACTGCTGGCCAGGTTTCCCTTTCTTGCCGTCCTTGAAATGCATGTTGTGTGCCAGGACCTCACCAGGCACTGCAGACACCGATGAATGACATACTTATCCCATGTCCTCCAGTGTTCAGTGGAGGAAGGCTAAAACAGAGGCCTCAGCAAGCACTTCCTGGCAGCCTGCTTGATGCCCAGCCCTCTGCCAACCCCTGGACAGCCTCAAGAAGGCACAGTCTGCCATCCTGTTGGAAGCAGAGATGTGTACACTTCTCTTCCCTCCCGCTTCAGTGTCAGATGGCTGTCCTGCACTTACAGACATCTTCAGCTGACCCCCACCCAGACAGAACAAATCCTGTGTCATCACTTGGTCTCATACTCAGATGCCCATCAGTCTTGTTACTTTCCAGCTTCTTCCATGCCAGGGTCTAGAAGTGCTGGCAAATTTGTCATTGTTTGATTGTTGAAGGATAAAGTGTGTGATCTGACTGTCAAGAATGGTGCTCCTGGGGCAGGGGAGCAATGCTTCCTGCTGAATGTACATCAGCCCCAGCTTGACCTCTTAGGCAACTTGTGGGAGTGTGGGATAGTTTGGCAGTTTTTGAAATGGTTTTGAGAATATTGATGTTTGACAGGGCAGGCAGACATGGGTGAAAGGTGAGGTGGGCTCTACAGCTTTTTATGTGCACTTTTTTTTTTTATTATTCCAGAAAATTAGGTTCATTTTAGCAGTTTATACCTTTGATTTTGATGCTGATGTTCTTTCTACCCACCCTGCCATGTTAAGCGTGTTCATTGCATGGATGTGGATAGTCACGGTGTATTTCTTGTTCAGTGACTCACCTTTTCTCATGCACCCATCTAAGACTGCCTGTATTCAGCTGAGATGTTGAGTATGGGAGCTGTTTTTAGGCTACAGACTGCTCCTTTCTCCCCGTCCCCTGAGGAGAGTGCCATGTAGGGCCCTGCAGCTTTTGTGCTCAGCTGCCCCGGACCACAGAGCAGCCTGGCTCTGTGTGTTCCCATGAACATCTGAAACAGCTGTGTTGTTGTATGTCCCCATGAGTTCCACGCTCTGTTCTCAGGTGGAGCAGCTGTTCTGGTTTGCAGAGCCCAGATCTTTCTCACCTCTGTTCCCTCTCCAGGTAGATCAGCGCGTGTTCAGAGACCTCATGAGTGAGAAGCTGCCTCGGTTGCACACCCACTTTGAACAGTACAAAGTGGACTACACCCTCATCACCTTCAACTGGTTCCTGGTGGTATTTGTGGACAGTGTTGTCAGCGATGTCCTTTTTAAAATATGGGACTCTTTCCTTTATGAGGGACCAAAGGTGAGTGTACTCTCTCCAGTTATATATGCTTGACCATGTCATCAATGGCTGGTTCACCTGGAACTTAGGAAGTTACCACAGCCCCAAAGTTCCCAGTGTGATTGCTCCTGCAAGCCTTGGGAAACAGCAGTTACTGCTCATCCATCAAAAACCTCAGTGTGAAGCTGAGCACAGTCACTCGTAGGGACATCCTGTCTCAGAATAACTAGCAAAACGCTCGGTAGTTCAGTGCTCCAGCACTAGCTTTGCTCATATGAGGCCTCTGGGTTCAGTCCATCTTCCTCTCACCCCACACACCACTCCACAATACACCAAACATAGATAAATAAAAGGCTGATGGGACAGCACAACAACCTCACAGCCTGAGTGTAATTCCTGGAATTACGTGGTGGCAGGAGAGAGCCAGCTTCTACAAGTTTTCCTCTGACCTCTAGACACAAGCATGTGCCCACACACATAAACACACACCAAATAAATAAATAATTTTGATTAAGTAAAAATAAAAGCAAAACATAACTAAGGATATATAGTAGGAAAGCAATCTCTTTCCCTATTTTCTGTTGTTTTCTTCTCAATTTTTGTATTCTCGTCTGTGTTTCTTAAGCCTGTCTGAAGGATGCTGTTTTAACTTACTGTATCTTGGAGCTAGTTCTGTACCAGCACATACAGGACCTTGCTACATCATGTTGTAACATGATGGCATTCCCTTGTACAGGAGTCAGAAATGTACATAGCAGCCCCTGATGGTGGCCGCTTTGATTGATTTCAATCTCTTGCCACTTCAGAACAAGATGCACCCAGCTCTCCTGTGACTTTCATCTTTCCACACAAAGGCATGTGCATTATAGATTTAGCCGAGAATTGCAGGATCCAAGGTTAGTCCACCAGTAGTGTTGGGGTAGCACCAGGTTGCCCCTCAAAGGGGCCTTATGAGGACTGAGTGGTGGTGGCACACGCCTTTAATCCCAGCACTCAGGAGGCAGAGGCAGGTGGGTCTCTGTGAGTTAGAGGCTAACCTGATCTACAGAGCAAGTTCCTGGATAGCCAGGGCTATACACTCCCAAGGTATAGGTGTGTGTATTATCCCGTATGGAGATTCAGTGTCCAGCATAGATTGCTACCATTTTTATAGTCTTAATTTGTCATTAATATGAAGAATTCTCAGCTAGGATCATCAACACTGTTCCTCTTGGGCTATAAATGAGTATCTGAAGAGAATCATGAACAATTTGACCCTGTAAATATCACTTTCTAAGTTCAATACAGTGTAGGCTGGCGTAGGCTAGTCGGGACTCTTAGATGTGGAAAAGCAGTTTGTTCCAAAGCTGCCTAGACTTGTAAGACCACCAGTTCATTCTCCCCAGCCTGGCTCAGAGTACCCCAAAAACAAATCAGCGAAATCGACTGATTATTTCACTGCATTGAAGAGTCAATCAGACCCCTGAGCCAAGACTGTGCCTGCCTCTGGAGTTGCAGCTTCACTTTTTCAGTCAAAAAAGCCTGGGTTTTGATCTTAGGGAAAACTGGCTCCTAGGTTAGTATTCTTTGCCGAATGCAAAGGTTAGCCAAAGGCGCAAGGATTCCACATAGGGCTCCTCACTCTTAGGAATGTTTTGTTTCTGAATTGGGCTGAACTGTTGGAAACCACAAGTATTTGTTTTTCTGTACCGAAGGGCTTTGTCCAATCCTGGAAGTCAACCCTGAATTCAGGTGTTTGCCTGAGGGCAGGGCCCTTGGGATACTTGCTCCAGCCTGCCCCTAGCTCCTGCCCCCAGTCTCATGCCTGGACTCCTATCGTGTGTGTCTTCAGTTACAGTTTCCCTGGCTTTCCCGTAGGTTATTTTCCGTTTCGCCCTGGCACTTTTTAAATACAAAGAAGAGGAGATCCTGAAATTGCAAGACTCCATGTCCATATTCAAATATCTCCGTTACTTCACTCGGACCATCCTTGATGCCAGGTGAGTCGTCAGGAGTCCTCAGACTCAGAGCTCTCCAGAAAAATGAGAAGGGCTGTGGCCTTCCAGTCAGTCGGGAAGATAGGGATGAATATGGTTTTGTTCTTTATTCAGTAAATAAATCCCAGTAACTAAAAGCAGTGGTTCCATGCCTAAAGCATTTCTGTCTCTGTGATAGGACGTAATCTGTCCAGGAATGGGATGGTAGATAAAAACAGCTCCCAGCGGAGGAATCCTCCCTTGGACCGTGTAGTGATGAAGCCAGGCTGGAAGAGAACAAGGCTAGGGGGAAATAGCAAGAGTTGTGCTTCCAGCACAGACATGGGAACAAGTGTACTTAGAGACAGTGGGAGGGGCCACTCAGCTCGTGCCAGGGTGCTGGGGCTCATGGCTACAGCCTAACCCGGCTCTTGTAGGCTATGCTTGGGACTTTGAGCTTCATTCTAGACATATTAGAAAGTTACTAAAGGCAGGAGAAGATTAGGGCAGGACTGGCCCCAGGAGAAGGACCAGGAAAGGAGGTGGTAGTCTGGAAAAAGGAGTCCTGAGAGGTGGAGAAAAGTGGGACAGATTGAAGACACTTGGGATTTGAACTTGGAAGGACCCTAGGTTTCTAGCGTGGACAGCTGGAATATTCATGAATAATTTCCCTACACACACATACACACACCTCAAGCCACATAGTTATTTCCTGTTTGGGCTGCCATTTTCCTAGGCCACAATTGGTGTTTGCTCTGGCAGCTGGGGTGGTTGGCAGAAGCCACACCAGGCCTCTGGGAGGTCGTCTCTGTCTTTAGAAGATAGTTTCAGGCTTAGTACTAACACTAAAAATAACCCGATTTGTGCCCAGTGGGAAGGGTATCCGAGAGTGCTTGCTGTGAAAGATGGGTGAAAAGTTCAGAATGAGGATTTTGTTCATCTCACGTTGGTCAAGATTAAGAATGATCAATGAATTCCCACATGACAGCTGACACTGTTGAGAGTATTTTGGTTCCAGAGACAGATTCTGCCTCACCCCAACAGTCTTAAGGGGAATGTCAGGACTTCCTGGAGATGAATCCCCCTCTACTTCCTGTCACCATAGATAGAAGTGGGCACTCCCATCTTGTCTGATCCTACAGCGCCACCTTGTGAATGGCTCTTGAAACAGTTTCCCTTTGCTATATAAAGGCAAGGTCACTGGACTAAGCTCTCAATGTGTGCCTCAGTTCCAGTGGCCTCTCTCCTGCACCTCCCCACCCCCAGCAAGGCTGCTGAGACTGCAGGTGCCTTGACTCCACCTCCACACTGAAGTTCCAGTATTTTAAGGAGCTGCCCGTGTTGGTGGTCTGAGGAGAGGCCGTTTTGCAGAGTTGATAGGTATTACAAAGAGGGACAGGGACTTCTATCACCAGGTGCATTCAGGAGACTTTGGATGATGCAAGATGGGACTGGTTGGTGTCTGTGGCAGGACTTCTGGAGTCCATGAGAGGCTGAGCATTCAAGGGCAGTATCTGAGTTCCCTAGGATTGCAGCCTGGACCCTGCCGCAGTTGGCTCTTTCCAGCTAGAGGAGTAAATTAATAATTTAGCAACCCCTTTTCCACTTTCTATAGTAAAGAATGAATGTTCTGGTTTATGGTGCCTGTAGTTTGCATAAGAGGAAGGACAGTGGTGGGCTCCTGGCTCCCAGTCTCAGTGATGCGCCCCAGCCAAATCACAGAGCTGGGCATGGTTAGGTCTGCCTTAACCTCTGGTGATTGCCTGTCCTAAAACACATGGGGAACTTGGCCTGTGTAGAGAGCCGGCCAGTCTAGCCTTTTCACTCCCTTGCCAGAGAAGGTGGTTAAATTTAAAAAGGAAAAATCATGGCGCCTTGCATATCCTCTGTACACCTATGCTAACTGTAGCTCACAGAGCTAAAGAACAGAAGAACAAATGGTTTGAAACGGGGGAAGTCCTGGCAACATGCTGTTGCTGCAAGTTTATAGGGCCCATGGCCAACAAGGGAATGAGCTCCTGCTGTCAGGAAGCAAAGCCATGCCATGCGTCTGGCAGAGTCAAAGCAGTGCACCTGACCCATGAGTTCTGGAAAGCAAAGCCAGGCATCCAGATGGTCCTTAGCTCTGTCTTCAGTAAACACTGACCAGTGGCTAACGTAACAAACTTAAGACATGTTTTTAGTTGGTTCCTTGACAAACTGTCTGTGCCTCTTTGAACTGTGTCACACTGCAGACAGGGTCTGATGTCATTATCATTCCTAATCCATTGGTGTCAGGACAATTTTCCTAAGCACTTAATATGCCCTGCCTAACACTGGTCCTGAAGAGTCATACTCATTGACACCTGCTGCCTCCAGGTGAGCACCAGGTATTAGTGCCTCCATGTGGGAACCATATGGGCTGACACCTCTCTTATTCCCAGTGTGCAGATGAAGAATCAGGCCAAAAACAATTCTGAGTTTAGGGTCGTCCCCTTAGCCACTGCACCTTCTTGCCTCTCTGCATAAGATAGGCCTGGGCTCCCAGGATGGCATTCCCATCAGACTCTCTGCATGGTACATGTCTCTTGCTCCCTTTCCTGGTCTCCAGTCAGTGCTCTCCTGATGCCTCTGCCCTTTGTCCCACCAGGAAGCTAATCAGCATCTCCTTTGGGGATCTGAACCCCTTCCCCCTGCGCCAGATTCGGAACCGGCGAGCCTACCACTTGGAGAAGGTCCGGCTGGAGCTGACAGAGCTGGAGGCCATCCGAGAGGATTTCCTGCGTGAGCGGGACACTAGCCCAGACAAAGGCGAGCTGGTTAGCGATGAAGAGGAAGACACTTGAATGGACCTCCACCCTAGGATGCTGCTCTTCTTGCCTTTATAACCAAAAGTAGCAAAGAGAACTCCAGGCATGTCCCTGTTCATTCAGCTGCCAGAATGTAACATCTGGGGCCACTGGGTATCTGCTGGGCAGATGTCCAAAACTAAGCTGCACTTTCTCATCTCTCATTTGGGAGCAGAGGTCTGATGGCTTTAGAGCCATTTCTACGCCACAGCATTCAGTCACATATATCACTGCCATGCTTGCTGCCTGACTGGTGACTCGCCAGTTGACTGTTCCCAAGGGCCTGTTTACAGCATCTTCCAGTTGTGTGAGTGCTTCACCCTGCAAAATTTACTATGCTCCACGTCTCCCTGTGCTCTTTCTTTTTATTCCTGGACAGCACTGTGGAGAAATGCCTACAGGGCTTCAGCGTGGCTGCTTCCAGGGGAAAAGGTCATCATAAGGAGAGGGACCTCTTAAAAAACCAAGCACAACTCTTATTCAGAAGCAGCCTTCCTAGAGGGCGTGGGAGCCCTCTGCTGGTGGCTTCACACTGCCAGCCACAGCCCCATCTGGACTAGCCTTTGCTCTCATACATAGCCTGTAGCACTCACCCTGCCCTGCAGCTAGCCCCACCGTTCTCATCGCCAGCTGTTTTGCCAGCGTTGCTCTATCCTGACTTGCAGGGGATTGACACACCTCCAGCAGCTGCTATGGAAATCTCTTCTAGCTGTGGATGACTTGGAGGTGCCATTCTCTAAGTGTGACTGGATTGGGGTTCCAAATGAACCTTGTAGTAGGCCCACCTCTGTGTGAAGGAATATGGGAAAAACTTTCAGATGTGGCAGAGCTGTGGCTTGCGGACTCCTGTTTATGGCAGTGGCCAAGGCTCTGATATCATGTCCAGCGACTGGGTGGGGAGTGAGGCTGACTGCCAGCCTCCTAGCCCCGGAAGCATCTTTGCCGGAGGACAAGAGTAATGAGCTCTTTATGTTGCCTGGATCATCCTTGTCCCCAGCAGGGAGCTGGGGTCACTGTGGCCTCTGGCATAGCATATTCTGGGCACTTGGAACACTTCCTTCTTGAAGCTTAGAAAGGGTCTGAACAAGGGAGGTTATTTTTGCTCAACCTAAGCATCCCCGATGGGTGGCTGTCATGCGAAAGCATTTTCTAACACAGTATTATTGGAACACAAGGGAAACAGCCTTAAATGGACTATCTTACACTACCTGGAAAACAAATAGGAAACAATCCTTAGCTAGTATAAACAGTGAGACTAAGAACTGGAGCAAGGCAGTTGTAAGAAGTGCTTTTTCCAGGACTGGTTTTCCTGTTTTTGCTATCTACTTTTTAGCACTTGAATGGCTGAGTCGCTTTTCCAGCATCTAGACTGTGCTCAGCTTCTCTAAAAGTTGCTTTTTTTATTACCGTGTAAAAGGAGCTGGTCTCTATATTTAGTCACTAGCCTGTGTCTCATTTAAGGTATGAAGTCTCATCATTGTGACTTTAGGATGGTGGTTTGAGGCCTGGCTTCTTCAGGGAGCTGTCTGAATTGGACAATGGTCTCACTGCTATTCTCGGGGCCTCCCTGAAACCAAATGCCGGAAGAAAGCCCACCCCCTATGAAATGATGGCTGTCAGCCTTGGGGACAGCTGCTAAGGCGGTGCAGTAGGGTGGGGTTGGAGCCCCGTGGCTCAGCTCCAGATGCCTGATCTCAGTTGCCATGTCAGTTCCCCACTGAAAGCAGTCAGTTCAGTCCAAAAATGTATTTGACATAAATTCTCTTTTAGCAGTGTGTGCCCAGTAGAGGCATCTTGAAAGTATCTGGTGATTCTGGAGACGTGGCCTAGTGGTAGAATATGTGACCTGTCATGGCCTGGGTTCCATCCCAGCAATGCAAAAGGGAAAAAAAATCCCCAGTATGCTCTTCTACCATCCCCTGAGAGACAGCATTAGTTTTCCAAGCAGTTTCAGTGGCCAGGTAAAGTCTCAAAAGGTCTCAGACTCTCCTCCCTGCAGAGCTGAGAGGGCATGGTTGCCTTCATTCCAGTTTGGGGACAGAATGACACAGGCTCCTCACAGAGGCATAAAGCCAGTGATTGGAGTCATCACCTCCCATTCCCTCATCACTGAGACCTCTCTTTACCCTCCAGTGCCCTGAGGTTCCAGACTTAAACCAGCCACCAGCCAGGTACCCCTAACATCAGCGGCTGCCTTGTGGTGCCGTTCATTTGAACCTTTACCCAGCATGCAACACGTGCCTCCTTCCTGGTGAACCTTGTGGGCTGAGAAACCCAAAGCATAGCCTCCAGCATATGGGTCCAAATGCACGTGCCATGGTGCAGGGAGCTCCCTGCCCTCAGAGCCCCCTCTGGTGGGATTTACCAATAGTTCAACTGTTAATACTTTTATATTTTCACTACATTTTATATTTTTATAGACTATTTTATTAAGGTTTTTCTAGATTCTGTAAGACTTTTATATAACAAGTTCTATTTTGTGTGCACAGCTCCCTTGTATGTATTTATATCGACCTGAACATCCCAAACTGCAGTTCCCTCCTGTTCCACCTTCTCCCCTTTGCCTTGTCCATTCCTCACTTCTGCTTACCCAGGTAGCCTCTGGTGTCAGCTGTGCTCTGTTGATACAGGCAGTTAGTTACAGGCAGTTAGGCACCCAGTCAGGTTTTGTTATCTGTTACTGCACAGCCCCTCTCACTCTCTGTACAGTGCTGTCTTCCTGATCCACCCACCTCTGGGTGGGCCTGTTCAGGGAAGTCCTTGAAGATAGAGGCTGGATGCAAGCCCAGTGCCTGAGGTTCTTCTGTGGGCAGCTGGAGGACTTGAGGGCACACCATCAAGCGACTGTCTTTTTGTATCACAGCAGCTTTTATGCTCATCTTTGAGTTAAATGTTAGACTCATAAAGGGAGAAATAAACTAATTTGTATTACATCCTGCCTGGAAAGGTAGCTGTAGTCATTTGTGATGGAAGCCTCTGCATGGTCTTGGAGCATGGGGTGTGCGTTGCGGGGTTGGCATCCAGTCTGCCAGCCTGCTGAGTCTTGTGTTCCACTGGGATAGGAGGAACAGGATGCCTTTCTCAGCACTGGTAGGCCTGAGTGTCATGGCTGAACTGTGACCAAGGGCTGAGGGCAGAGGTCAGAGCCATAAAGTGAGATGCTGCCTGTGTCTGGAACAGTCCTTGCCACCCCACCTCTCCCCTTGGGAGACAGGTACCCTCCTGTACCAGCTGTGCGTGCCCAGCCTGAGTCATCGTTTGTTTGCCTCCTGTCTGGGCAGACAGCTCAGGCCCAGCTGCCACTGGGGACTCCCCCAGCCATCTCTGGAAAAACAAGAATGATTAGGACCAAATGTCTTTCCACACGGGAGGTGGGGGCAGGGCTCCTCAGTGCAGGCCTGGACCTGGTAAACGGCTACTCTTAGGGAGACATGGGTTTATTCAGCAAGGCCAAAGCTGGGTCAGGAACCCAGGTCTCTGCCACAGTGCCAGTCCCTGATGTGTGTGGGTCTGGAGCAAGGAAACGGCTCTGTTCCTGTCTTAGTGAGGAGCTGCCATGGGAGTGGATTGGGCAAAGTTGTAGGAAGCCATTACTCAGAGCGTGGGTCTCCAGGGCCTTTTGGGGCCCACAGGGCAGCTGCAGACATAGACAGGAAGCAAATCTTCTCCACCCTGAGCATGGAAGTGTTGGGATGCACACACGCAACCAGTGACTTGCTTTTCTGAGTAACCTGATCAACTGTCTGTACTTGACCAAGCCACATATAGGCCTGCCTGGAGCCCAGAAGAGGAGGTAGGGGCTCCGGAGCTATACTGTGCCTGTACCTCCTAGTCACTTCCTTCCACTGTGAACGTCACCTGCTAATGTTTGATGAGATGGTGCGAGAATAGGGAACCTGGAGCTAGACAAAAACCTTTACTCCTGAGAAGAACAGCCCCTGATCCACCCTCCCCACTCCTAGGTAGAGCACATCCTGGGACAGGCACAGTGCTGACTGACTCCATCCTCTGATCCCATTTCCCAGTCTCAAGAAGTGACTTCCAGTGTACCCACATTCTCAGTGATCAGATTCCTTCGTGTTTCCATATACACCTCACTCTGGAGAATAAACCGTGACCAGTGTCGTCCTCTAGAACCCCAGGCTTCAGACTTGGAGGAGGGGCATAATACCTTCCACAAGACATCCAAAGGATGACTCACAGCCAGAAGGAAGAGTAAAACAGAACCTTCTTCAAAGTACCTGCATGCCCAGCTGCTCCCACGTAGCAGATCACATGTACCTACTGTCATGCCACAGGGAGCCCTTGTGGGAGACAAGACAGCCTCAGCTGCATGAGGGCATGTGGCTCCACCCCTAATGGAAGGTAGCGGGCAGGGGTGTGGAATGAGTGGGAAAGTGAACAGGATTCCCTAGGCGGCTGACAACCTGAACCCCCTACAAAGAAGACCCTCCCATTCCCGCTGTGTAACCCTCTGTAGATACGCCTTCCCTCGAAGCCATCTCTACCCACTTCAGGATCTTCCATGTCTGCATCAGGCATCTCTGGGTGGCCTCGGTGCTGCCCATGCTGATCTGCCCCCACAGGAACAGAGACGCTGCTGTCTCTCCAGGCCTTAACAAGGAACAGGGTCATAGCCATTTGATAGGTAGGTAGGTGGGTAGGTAGGGGGTCATATTGGAGAGTCTCTAAACCCAAGACAAGGCCAAGCTGCTTTGAAAGGGTAGATACTCATTTATGTAAAACAGTAACAAATGTGCAAACAGAATAAAAAAATACTTTTTCTGAGAGGAAGAGAGGTCCCCAGCCTGCCATTGCACAGGGATGGGGTTAGCACCATTAGGGCACGAGGAGCAGGGCTCCACCGCAGCCTGTGGTGGGGCACTGAGGTCTGTGTGTCATGGGTCAGTTTGTGTGTGCATTGGTGGAGGCCAGGCCTCTGTTCAGCGTCTAGCCACCCGCTGGTGACCTCGGGAAGGGACACCACGGCTGAGCGGGGGGCATGAGCGGCAGCACTGAGCACGGATGGTGGGTAGCTGGCAGCGGCCCAGTAGGCGCAGTGTCTCACAAAAACTGAAAGACAGGCGATCCCGTTCACAACCTAGGAATGGGAAGAGATAAGAAGAGAGTAGGATGGTTAGAATCGGTGGGCGTGGCACCGAGAACCACACTTCATCATCCAGTAAGTGGATTGAAAGACCCCTTACCTCACCCAGTATTCTTAAGAAGACTTCAGAGCCAGGAAGAGACCCCGTTTCTGAAGGAGGACCCCAGAATCAGAACCCCAAGTCCTTAGCTGTTGTCCCTGACTCATCTGCCCTTGAACTACTGACACCGTTGACTTAACTTTCTGGAAGAAAGATTCTGAGACCCCATCGTTGACCACCTCAGGAGGCCATGAGATGCCCAAGAGCCTAGCCAGCAGTGCTGCAAGCCTTCCAGCACTTTCCATCCTTGTTCAGTCATGGTACCTGACAGGACCGAGCCCACAGCTTTACCTCCCGCGCTTGTGTCAGTCTGCATCCTTAAGTCCCATGTGCCTCTGCTGCCACCACTGCACCATGCTGCCCCACCCCCAGGCTCATGTGGGCCCCCTTCATCCTCACCCGTTTCACTGGGTTATGGCCCAGAAAACTGGGCCTGGCCAGGACCACAAAGGCACCTGCGGCTGGGTGCAGGCCCCTGGTGACACAGCACAGGAGAGGGCGACTCTCCAAGCCCTGTCAGCGGCTAAGGCCTGGCTGGCTCTCCTGGGAAAGCTATTTGGGGAAATGGCTTGCTTCCAGACCCTTGGCCTCCCTCCCAGTGCTACTGCTCTGTTGTGGCTGCTGCTGAGGCAGCAGCTGCCTGAGACCCCACTTACTTCCGCAGACTCCCTGGGGAGGAGGAACAGGCGGGCAACCTGGAGCCCTAGTCTACGGCATCCCCAGGTGTGGCAGAGGGCACAAGGCAGCAACTCCAAACTCTGTCTGCCTGCCCAGCAGTTCCCCTGGGTGACCTCGGGCAGGCCTAACCACCGGGTGAAGGTTTCCTCTTGGTGGCACGCCCCACCTCCACAGGGAAGGCCATGTAACTAACTAGGCGTGCCGGCGGCTTGGCCACGGTGATCGCACACCCTAGAGTTTCCAGGATTTCCAAATGTCCTGTCCCACAACTGCACACGTCATCAAAACATCCTGGAAGCTCCAGGGGCTTGGGGTCCAAGAGTCTTCCCTGATGGGCTCCCTTCGCTGGGGCCATGAAACTCTTCATGTGGGTGAGCCCTGGGGAACAGCCTAGTCATTTCCTTAAGTCCCTGCTGAGACCACCCTCCCCATTCCCCTGGGAGACCTTGCAAGGCCACAAGCCTCCTAAGCCAGGCTATTTCTGGTGGAGCTTCAGTTCCTGCCCTGTCTAGGTGCACCACCTGGGATCATAGCTACCCCTGACTCTGCCAACCCTGAGCTCGGTGTGAGAGACAGAAGAGCCATAGGCACCATCAGTCCTGAGGGCAAGCACTGTGGTACAGCACTCAGCTTAGCCGTGCTGAAGTGTCTCATTGGTTCAGATAGATGCGGGGAAGCAAGGAGAGCAAGACAAGCGGGAATGGCTTGAGAAACCCAGGTTGGCATTTTCTTGGCACCTTGAGGCAATGGGATTCAGGGCAGAATGGTACAGCAGCAGCCGCTCTGGTCCTGAGCCAGTACCCCCAGGAGCCAGCTGCTGGTAGTGAAGGCTGTGCAGAGCAGGGGGAGGCGGATTGGGGCTGACACCCACAAACTATCCTGGTAACAGGTCCGGCAACCCAGTAGGTAAGTGCCAAGTTCCTGTGTTCCCTCAACACAGAGGTGGCCTCAGACTTCCCTGCCTTTGCAGTGGTGGACAGTAAGGGCTGCTGAACGGGAGGAGGGTAAAGTGGTCTAGCCTGTGCTAAGCAAGGGCACTAGCCGTACTGAGCCCTTATCCTCAGACCCCACTGTACTAGAATAAGGGCTGTATGAGGAAATGACAATCCAGATAGGGAAATAGAGCCCAAGACTACATGGCTGGGGAACGGATGCCCAGATATGACTCAGGGGCCACATTGTTTTCTGTGTTCAGCACGGCTGGGGACATCTGGAGCCTCAGGAAGGAGGTGATTTCCAGAGCCACCTCTGGCTCAGGACTTTGCTCCACAGTGGCGCAGCTGGCTAGGAAGCCCATAGGCGGCAGTGGCGGCAGGACCCTGGGAAGGAGTCCTTCCTGTGGCCCTGCTGCTCACTGTAGGCTGTGATCCTCCTAGGAATGGCAGTGCCCAGAGCCCAAGGGCATCCTCGCCTCACTCTGGGAACTAAGACCCCAAGGGGGAAAAGCTTGTCACAACTGAGAGAGCAGGGGACTCCTTCAACTCCCCAAGGCTACAGAAGCTGCCTGCAGAATGCCTGAGTGGCTGGGATTCCCCTTGGCTGATTCCCAGTTTTGAACCTTAGCGCCCTGTGGCCTCCCAGTTAAGGTGACCATGTGGTTTGAGGGACCTGTAAATAGAACAGCAGCTGTTCTGGGACTGACATCTGGATGATTCTCTAATTCCCAGCCACCCTTCTTCCCCTGCCCCACCATCCCCAGGGGTAGGGAGACACTCACGTGGTGGCTCAACCAGCTCACAGTCCTCAGTGGCACATGGCCGTGAGCTCTCAGGCCAGGCCTCATGGCCACACTGGTCATTGTCTTCCTCTGCCAAACCCGTCTGAGTGTTCACGCATTTGACCAGGCGCCGCTGAACACCACCACCACAGGGGGCTGAGCACTGCACAGGAGAGAGGACAGAATGTCCCCAGCACCAGCCATCATAGTCAGTGACCGGCTAGCACTGCACAGTACCACCCTCTCCAGGAAGCCATCTCTGACCCCGCTGTCACGGGAGGCATCTGCCCTGGCAGCGAGGGCAAGACGAGAGTAAGAAGAAATGCGAAAC